ATGGAAATTTTGAGACTTTATGTGACAAGTATATTCCTGTCCAGGATATTTTTGCACTACTGATATACTATACTAAGAGTAATATATAAATACAATAATTAGAATTAAAATAAATATCGCATCCAGTACTACTAACGTCATTGATTCGAGCTTAATGAAATAATTTAAATTGCGTTTGCATTTATACATCCATTAACTTTTAATATATAATTCCACGATATTGATCCCAAATTAAATTCTTTAATTAATATTTTGAAGAAATATCTGAAGAAGATTTACAATTGACAGATTCCTAATTTTCCCCAGCTACATCCTATATGCAGCATAAACTACATTTAGTGCTAAAGCTACTTCACGCTTTAAAATATTATTTAAACGTTTTTCTTTCTAACAATCTATCTGACAAAGACAAATGTATCATACGTCATTAACACTATATATTATAATCCTGCAAACGCAGTTACGCTATATTAAATAATAGCATTTTATATCATTTTAGACTTGCACAGATAGCTAGCTTAACGAAATTTTAATGACATTACCATATTAAATAATCCGGTAAAAACCGTTACAGTTCTTTAAATTGTGTAGAGTAGCGTCATGATAAAGTCCATAATTCTGATTGCATTTCTTCACTGCTATTCTTAAACGGCTCATTCTCTAATTTATTTATATTCTTAAAATAAAAATGTATAGCGCTTTTAAATGAAATAAATTGCGTTAAGACTTTGAGTTTACTTTATCACTCACCTTGTCTCAGCTTTGTTTTTTGATTTTATACGAGAGTATAGGTATATACTAAAATAATTTTCTATATATTGTTACAAAGAAGGAACATTGTCTGCTGTTAATCATAAAAGAGCTAATTTTTGATACTACTTTACTTTATATCAACCATAACTAGAGTCTTGCATAAAACTGGGCATAAGTAATTCTATAATATACAATAGAAGTGTACCCAAATAAAAAATCTTTCCATAGAGAGCAGGCTGTCCACGTAAAATCCAAATTTAAAAAATTGGCTACATTTGTCAATGCAATTTAATCATCTCGAATATCAAGTGCATTCATATTCTCTTCGTGATATTGCTATCCTATTCACTGATAAGGATAGGAAATAATTAAAATTTTCTTACAAAATATTTTTAGTTGCACGAAAACATATCGAAATTAACGATAGTACATCTCTTCAAAGTCTCTGAAGCCGATTAATCATGTCATACTGTTTCTATTCACAGAAGTTAAGTACAAATATTAATAGTTCTATGCCCTTTGTTGATAGAAATTTTTAGTAAGCTAGGATTACTTAAGAAAAAGAGTGAATTACGTAAGCTTGCTGCGTAGAAGCCCTTTCATTTTGGCTGTATCAATTAATCCTCATTATCATTAATCGCGCATATAGTTTTAAATCAACGCTCTAGATAATCGCTAAACTTCTATAATAATTATGTAAAGAATATGTGTTGCTTTAAGAACAACTGCATCGTGATTACGGCATATTATTAAAAAGCTGCTTTAACTGGTCTATTCTCCTTAAAACAAGATCGAAGTTACGGCTGCAAGCTAATAAAGAGTTGAAAATTTATTAGTAAAAATATAATAACAACTTCAATAGAATATTCAAAACGAGATTATTATTATCGCTGTATTACGGTAATCAAATTTTCATAGTAGTCATATTGTTTCTAATTATGCTACAAGTCGGTACATTTAAGGGTGTTTTCATCCATAAAGATAATAAATTGATTATAAAAGAACCTTTGTGCAAACAAAAGGTCATTATATAATAATATTTTATTTAGAAGATTCTCAATTATATTAAGGCTACGACGGCGATAAAATTGCAATGATTTTAGTATGCTCTTACATAGTTATAGCACGATAATACCAAAGAATTTGACGTAACAACGTGACATAAAAATCTTTTCATAAAATAATAATTAGTAATATTATTTGTATTGCAATGTAATATTACAGTTACATAATCGACTGTCAATTGGAGTAGCAGAGTGTCTTGCTATATCCGTATACCATGCTGCTATACGTTAAAAGATCTGATATAACAAGGTTTTAAAAATGTAGGGACGTTAGCAGTATTAACTAATCATAAAAATAACCAAGAAATTATTACTTAATTTTAACTACTTGGATAGGAATCATTCTCAAATTCTTTTCTTACATGATTAAGTAAAAGTTAAAACATATTGTTGAACTTATTTTAATTACCGGTAGTCTACAGATTCAGATAATGACTTCATGATACAAAGTAATATTGTTACCTCATTCAACGGATTTAATTTGCATACTCCAAACACCGCAATCTTTCTTCTATTCAACAATAACCTCTAAGGAAACATGTCATACACTACCGTGTAAAATACCAACGTTATGTTTCAATTATCTAGTTTTTAATTGACTTCTTTATATTCATTTCCTAAGGTAACTTTAGAATATCATTTTAAATTCTTTATATAGGTTAAAAGCTTGCAATAACTCTATCAACTGGAAATACTGTTTTCATAATGAATATCCTTAATAAAGTTGTGTATTCTTAATTTTGGAACTGATCAACAATTTATACGTAATTATTCCTACCTACAGGTATTTATATTATTCTTATCAAGAGATCGATATCATTTTTGCGCCGACGTAGTGAAGCATATCATAGCTATCAGCGAATTTTTTTTTCTTCGTAGCCAAATTCTCATGATTAATAAATACGTTAAGGCGCATAATTTATGATCGCTTATTCTCTCTAATACATCATTATAATGGTTCAGAAACCTTGATTAATAAACATACACTTTCGATCGCTTGAGTTACGGTGCTTAACGACTACGGTTGTAAAGTACCTTTAAGAATGTGTGCAATGTTGGCATCTTTTTAGGATAAGGTCTGGCACCTATAAAGATTTAGTTTAGCTTATAGCATGACTAGCTTAGCGTTGTAAAGAGTAATCCAACATTGCTGTAAATACAGTGTAAGCGTATTACCATCAATGCGCCGAATTGGCTAACACCTTTCATAAATTCACATATCCATTTCAACACTCTTGATTGAGACAAATCAACTAGCGTTAGTTGTAGCTTTTATCAATGTTAATAAAACGCGTTAGCAAATCTGATGCATTTCGGTCATATTTATATGCAAAGTTATCAGCACATCATAGCAAGTATTTATGAGCAATCAATGAGACAACAAAATTTTAAATCAACATATTTTATGTAAATACCCTTCATAGAGCGCATGGCTCTATTACGTCTACTGATTGTAAGAATATAATTGGATGAACTTTACTCAATCACATATTAGTTTTTTCACGCAAATTGCAAGGAGGGAAAAAAGGGCTGTAGAATTGCAATCGTCCTAAATCATCGATCATGTTCGATCGAAGTATGTTGTAAAACAAATTGAAAATCGCGATGAAATATAAATTAGTAATATAAGGAACTTATTAAGCCTATCTAACAGGATTAATTCTTGAACTAAGAAATAGCCTTGGTCAATGAATTATAAGAGTTAAGATTCTATTTTGAGCCAAGGGTGATGACGTCAGGGAATAATTAATCAAGTACAATACGATCTCAATGGGCTAATGGATCATGTTACTATAGCAACGGTTGAGGAAAGATTCATGAAAATGACCCCTGATACGGGTTGTCGTCATATCCACTTGGATACCGATTTATTTTTAGTTTATTGGTATCATGATTGACATCAATAAATCCGTGATTAGAGATGATAGTGTAAGCTACGATTAAATGTCAATTTACATACACATCCCTATCGTGTCTATACGCAACAGGATAGATCTATTTTCTATGGTAAATGCTGTACTTGTAGGTAGAGCTTCCATCCTAGTGATAGAATCAACACATAAACTTTTCTTACTATTCTATCATATTAAGTGGTGCGCATTTAAATGATTACACCTTCTGAATAAAAAAACATTATAGAAACGAATTTGAAGTCAGAAGTGAATTGGGTCTAAGGTAAATAAGGATTTTTTTCCTCTTAATTTTATCTAGAATAGGTTTCTTTGTACAACATGGTTCAATATAAATGTTATTTTTTGGAGTCTGATGTTTAAGGAATCAACCACAATCGAGTTTATCCCGTTATCGTTTTCACTTATTTATTTTATTTAATAGAATTTAGACTAACTAACAGCAACAAATTGTACTATACTTTATATCGAGTAGAAGAAAAATTAGAAACAGTGATAGCAGAACAATATTTGTTTCTACACCTTTTATTAATTCATCTCCAGACTAAACACAATTGATGCATCGCTATCCGCTATCGTAAGTAATATCTCGATTAACTAATCATGACCTGATCAATAACAAATTCTATCCGATCGTAGCATCATCAAACTACTGTATAGATTCAGAAAAACATTAACGAAAAGGGTAGATAATATCAATATGGACATCCTTCCCAACTTAATTCTAAATTCTTATCCACTAAACTCTTATCAATTTTGTCTAACTAATCTCAATATTATCGAGTGAACTATTCCATTCGATATCTGCAATAGAAAATTTTATCAATAGATTGTACAAAATTTCCCTCCGCTTAAAAGAACAAATAAATTTCATTTACGAACTAGAGAATAAAATTAACTTAGTTAAGTCTTACCTTCATAATATACAGTACGGTACCATTTGCACATTAACAGATAATATACTAGTGTTCTTTCTAAATCAACAAAGTTAAAAAATTATATAGTAATTGATTTTTCTACATAACAACTTAAATTTCGCTTTTTTAAAGCTTAAAAATCATACCAAAAAAGTATGGAAACTTCTTAACAGCAGATAGAAATAATTTGCTAATTGACAAATAACTTGCTAATGGGTGATATTTTCTATATGATGCCCAAATATCATTAACGTATGACATTTAGGCTCTTTTCTAAATTTTCTTTATCCAACTTTGTTAGGACAGGTTTATAGTTTGAAGAGAAAAAAGAATACTGAAACTTACTATTACAAACAATGGGCACATGCATAGCTCCAGAAGCGCCTAAAGGCCCACCGGCTCAAGTTATATCATCACCACCGGCAGATTATACTGGTAGAAATGCTAGTAATCCTTATCAATCACCTGCAGTGGATACAACTATCCCTACAGGAGCACAGCAACAGCAGCAACTACAACAGCAACAACAATATCAACAACCATTTCTACCACCTCCAATGGAACAAAATGTCGGACAAGCTAATCTTAACCATCAAGAAATGACTGATACAAATACAGCATCGAATAATCAAAAATTGCCAACAGCACCTTCAGCTCCTCTAGAAATGCCACAAAAGCCAACACCATCAGTGAAAGACCGCGTTAAAACGCCACCAGTACCTAAAAATCAACAAGAACGATTCGTCGACGAACAAGATGATACAAATGAGCCTAGTAGAAAAGCAACACCTCCACCACAATTCGATAGTAAAGCCTCCCATCAAGGCAATGATAGTGATGAAGATTATGAAGATATTGAACCTGTTGATGTATACGAGGAAGTGGTTAAACAATACATGATTTTCGAAGAACAAATTATTCGCCTGAAGAAAACTTACAGTCATCAGAAATTAGATCACAGCCATTCAAACATGAAAGTATTACAAGAAAATATCCAAGTAGCTACTAAAAAGTTAGAAGATTTAAAGAGACAAACGTAAGTTCGATACCTCTATTCTATTTAGCTTTGTCTCTTAAAAATAATTTGAATTTTGAATTTAAATCTGGATATGGCATCAACAGGCGTATAATTTATGCATATCTTTAGCACTTTATGATTTTCTGGAACGCCCAATCTTTACGTTAATTCTCACACATTTTTATTGTGACAAATCTCTAAGCATACGCTCTTCCTCATAGTAGTCTCTCACTTGTAATATCAAATATTATCTGAAAATATTTCGATGTCTTAAAGTAGATAGAAATTGTACTAAATTCATATTCTACCATCCTACATTATCATTGTTCTATCCTGTGTTCTTACTCCTAAGTTCAAAAGGATAGTAGGACATAAGGCAGCGTCTACTACTTACCTTATTGAGTCCAATTTCATTTATAGTATTATAGTAGCTACGTCAAGAACTATTTAAATCCATTTATAGCAAAGATTACAACAGTTTTATAGACCCTTTTCTGATCTATGCTGTGTTGATATCAATAATTCTTAGTTTTGAACTTTACTATTTTCATCTTTGATATTTTATCTCATACCCGCTATTCTATCACCGGAATTACCTTGCCCACTTAATTATTTATTCCAGACTAAGCTGCCCATTTGTAGATAAACCTTGTTATCAAATATATAATAACAGACTACGAGAAATTACGAAATATAATAAAAATATGGGGAAAAGATCTTACTGATTACCGTACTAATGGAAAGCTAAATGGGATAGTGTAATAACGACATAATATCATAATAATATCAATACAATTGTTAGGTAAGGGCTAATTTAGAATCAAACACGAAGAAAAACGCTCATTTTGTTAACAAAATACGATAGTAGATATAATCGAATATTCATCAACATTCGATCGAACTCACAGTCAATAAATCTATTTAATAAGTATCTTAATAGCTGTAAACAACTGTATAATCAATCATGTAAAATCATGCCGTGCTCTACGAGCGATAAATAGCGTTACTCAAGACCTGTACCCCACTTGAAAGAAAATTCTTTGAAGTTTATTCTATTTCACGGATGAGGAAGACGAACAACGAGGGGTGGGGAAAGGCTCAATCAAATGGGCTGCTAAGGTTATTTGACCACGTAAACAAATGTGCTTCATTATACTATAGAAGAAAATCCTTATGTAGTAGCTAAGAGATAGTGAGATTTAGATCGAATTAGAAACTGTCAAATCATTTTCAATTTTTCATTATCATTAATCATATGAAGTAACATCATCAGATTTACTTCCTAAAATTACAGATTACTTTAGCATATTTATACGAATATTTAGTCTTGCTGACTTACTATTACAACTAGTCAATTAACAGATTCTTTCTAAAGAATCGATTTGAGGTATAGTAGCTAATACAGTAGTAGAATCGCTTCTTTAAATACCAAATTTATTAATCGAAAGATGGAACTCCTTGCATCTGTCGTTTCCGCATCTCTTGTTCAAAAAATAAACAAATCGGTTGCATTTTAATACAATATTCATTACTACGGCTGAATAAAATAAAATAAAATTGTCCCCCGTAGACATTTCCTTCATATTTTGATAGCCAATTAAAATGACTAGTTTGATCGGTCGATAATCATGAATTACATTGTTATCACTATCATATGTTAAAAGCACGTAGTCTATAAAATAGCAATTAGCTTATCGCCATACTATGTAGGAAGACTTTTTTTACAGTTAATAAAACGTTATAATGATGAACATTGATACAGTCAGCATCGATTAAGTTCCATTTATTGGAACTCGTGCACATATATACGAAAAAATATCTGTCGGATGAAATTGAAGGTTAATACTCGTATGTTTAAGTCGTAATTCAAATTCAATATAGAGAGAAGTACATTAATTGGATATACATAAAAAGACGATTTTTGTTTTTCGATTAAAATCAGATATCTCGCGACGACGATGAAAGTATTTGATCTAACATTGTCTGTCATTACGTCTATGAAAATAGACAAGAGGCTCTGATTCTATCCAAATATTCTCTTATATTATTCTTGAATAAGAAAAACAATCACAATACCGTTACATTATAATTGCCGAGATAGGTATAGTGGATATTGTTCGACAATCCAGTGATGAAAAATAATCAGCGTTTCTAACGAGTTTATTATCATTCTACGTCATCTATTATCCAAGCCAATTTCATTTGTATTCATCAACCCCTTTAAATAAATTATTTTAAAGTAACAATACTGCAAATCATACTTTAAATCAAATAGCTATTTTATTAAGGACAAAATATGATAAAGGCAACCGTAACACGATTATTGTATTTGCCTTGGAAATCATAGTCGAGCAGACAATTACTATCAATTTATGCAATTCATTAAGGCATTAGCAAATAGATCATTAAATCTGCCGTAGAAAAACTATTTTCCATCCACTATCAAAATGATTTCTTATTACTTAAGGTCAATTCTAATATGGTGAATAAACCTCATCTAAAATTTATACTGATTTACTGAATTAACCGAACGCTAAAGCAAATAACTACCGCACCAATACATTTACGTGCTTCTATTTACTTAACGTCTAGCTCTTAAACAATTTCTAAAACGTCTCTGAAAATCTTACGTCCCACACTCAGCGACTATAAAGAATCGATAACCACACACAAGCTAGTTAATTTTATCTAAAAGAATATTTTTATTATATACCAAAGACGGTGAATTTGCTTTGAAAAATAATCGTGTAATACACTTTAACAGTGAATTGGCTCTATACTAAAATTAAACTACCAAAGTAACAAATTAGGAGAGTCATGTTGATTTCAGACGTCCTATATGGTCAAAAAATGATAATTTAATTCTGAAATTTAATTTCAATTAATGATCAGTGGGTCCTACATAAAAATTAATCTCCTACCAGAATCAAGCAATGATTGCATCGTAATTTTATTAAAAAAAAAAATAGATTGAAATAGAACTTTAAAATCTTCATAAATAGTCAAACACTAACCGAATAATCACTCCCACAAACTTACATAACTTAATTGCTGCTAGTTCCATTGCTGAACGTAGAGAACTCAGGCGTTACCATGGAATCATCTTTAACGAATACACATATTAGTATGCACATAGGAAGAAGATCAAATAAATAGGTATTATTAACAAAGTATAGTACAATAATATCGAAAAAGCGCCTTTCCCTAGTTTGAATGCATATTACTATTGTGCAAATGGTACCATTGAATAGAATCTGTGAATAATTGCCCTTTTGGAAAACTTCATTGCGTAGATATCATGATTGTATGTCGTTCGAAGTAATAGTTTAGAGTATTAGTTTTCTTTATGGGAATAGTATCAATGTCAGCGAGGCGATGGAATGTTCTAGTTTATTCATTAAGGAGAAAATTAAATTATTGTTATGGAATCTTATTTACTATATCCTGCTCTAATAGAAAGCTAAACCATCCATTTCATCCGACTTATAACAAATTCAAATAAAGTAACTGGTAGAAATGAAACAGAATTATGCTTCGGCATACGATCAAATCACGAATTAATCTATAACCTCGGCAATTAAGAATAACGACTGAATCCTTCTTAAAATTCATGGAGCAAAATCTTTAATTCGTCTAATTTATAAATGGTTACACTAAAAATCCCTTGATTTTTCCTGAGTATGATACAAATCAGCAATTGATAGAAAAGTAAATAATTTATTTATTACATGCGTAAAGCGGTTAATAAAAGCGATTCCTAAACCCTCTTAAAATTTTACTATTTCATTAGTAAGTCAAAACTAAATTACCAATTCATTTACCGTGTAGAATTGATAACAAGCAATATCAAATTTACTCAAGGAAACATACAATATATTCGATCAGAGTAACTAAAATTGATTATCGAGTTGTTGTGGAGGTTAAACGATATTGTAGAGATTCTATCTATTGCACTGTTCAATTCAGTTTAGAAACTTAATAAACTTATTATCGAAATTGAGCCTTCTCTGTAAGTCGAATCTTATAAATAGCACTAAATGACATCGCGTAATAAGTGTATCTCTGCTAAAAAAACTTACGGCAAATGTATGTATTATAAGAGTTAAAGGTGTTCTTTCTATTCTCTATTTCATCTACCAGTTAATATATTATGTATTGGGTTATCATGATTATGCTATTAAAATTTGTCGGGTTCTTTATCCTTTTCCAACATATTCTGATTATTACTCACTAAGAGTAATCTATTTACTGGTTGGACATCGGAAATAGTTCAGAAATATATACAGCCATTTTTATGCAAGAGAAAATGATTATAATTGAGATTTAATTAATATGAATTATCTACCAATTGTATAGATTATGTCCCTCTTTTAAAGGAGCTGTAAATTCAATTTATTTTTGAGCTAGAATTCCATTGCCTAGAGCTAAATGTCGTAGAAAACTATTAGTGAATATCATGAATAATTAGTATATGATCTATACTGTTGCTAAGTAAATAAAATACCTCTTTCTATACGTTATTGATTGGATAACTAGCCAATCCCTAATGAAGAAAATCAGATTTCAAGGTTGTCTTATTTTGAATTAGGTTCTATACTTGCATAGATACATCGAAATAGATAACAATGTCGTTTAATTTCTTTCTTTCGATTGAATTCTTACAAATTATCCCTATGCTGCTCCAAAATTGTTTAAATAGTGCTGGTGTTCGCAGGATTATGTACGGTTGAATACGCAACTATTTGATATACTGCTAGCTAATATACTACTAAGCAGCGATATTATATTGGAGTTTCAATGCTTCATTTGCACATTATTGCTATGTATAGCTTATTCCAACCCAAACAGTTAATATGCATTCATATCAACTATACTTATATCTGATAATAATTTTATGCCCGTACGCGTATGTGTATAGTTTCGTTGTGAGTCATCCTTAAATATTTTGGTTAATTGTCAATGCTATCATCTGTTGCAGTATGCATTCTTTTGGCTTCTGTAGTTTAAATTACACAATATAAAGGCAACATTATAAGTAACAAATTGTGATTGAATTAATTGCTCTCACTAATCACTTAATTTCAACATGTTTTTTTTAATAGTGTTAAAGAATACAACGATGTTATTCAAATACAAAACCCATCTGTCAAGGCTTTATTCATTAACCAAGCTCAACATGTTGCCGCCGTGGATAAAGAGCAGCGTGAATATGTTGAAGCATTAAATCGTCAAGAGGTGGCTGATAAAGAATTAGATGCTTTAAAACATCAACATCAAACCTTACAACGTGAATTCCAAGACGCTGAAAAGGGCATGCAAGAATTGAAATCTTTGCGCGAGCAGCAATCGGAACTGTTAGAGCGAATCTTCAATGGAAAATACGGTAGCGAGAAAGAATACCGATTAGAATTAGACCTCGAAATGATGGAAGATCGCAAGCAACGCGTTGCAGCTGCACGCTATCGCTGGCAATGTGCTCGTTTCTTGTTAAACCATGCTACCAACCAGCTTAATTTTGGAGTTCAGCGCTGGCATCAGTTACGTACAATTCACTATCAACAATTTCATGTACGCTATAAAATGATTGCTGAAACAAGAAATAATTTAATAGCATCATTACAAAATATTAATAACGCATACCGCTATCTACCGCAAATACAATTGCCATATGTCGGGGCAGAATTTACAAATCATCTGATGGAGTCAATTAATTCTATCTTTAATGATGCTCAAAATCCAACAACATATGAGCAAGTCCAAGTGCGTCTAAATGACTATTTCAAAAAATGCAGCCACCTTAACCAATGGAGTAATCAAGTATTAACCCAGACTATCGAGCAAGATTTTGGAAAAGCCACAAGCGAATATGATGAAGTTAGCCGTATGCTGCGCGAGGAACGCTTGCAATTACTGGAAAATAAGGCACGTGCTATTATTGGAAGCGATTTTATTGCAAGTATTTTAATATCAAACCAAATCGAAAATGAAGAATCCAAGCTTGAACATCACGATCAGATAATTGATCAAGCCATTATTATCGAAGCTGAACCTGTACCACAAAGTGAGGAAGAAATAGCAAGCACTGAACAAGCACCGCCAGCACCAGAATTTTCGGTAACTGAACAAGAAATCAACCAAAATTCCATCATTGCCGATAATGCGCAACAAATAGATGATGATCATAGACCGGATGTTGCACCTGTGCCATTATCCGACTTAGCACCACCTCCAACACAAGAAGAATTATTTGGTAATATCGAAAGTTTACGTAAAAAGCATGAAGAAGATGTTGCCGAATTTGAAAGAATACAAGACTATAATCGTCAACGTGCAGATCAAGGTTTACAGGAGAAACTACAACGTCGTCGAAGCCGACGCCGAAAGCAACAGTTGGAAACGATCCAGGGTCATATGTTAAGTCAAAAAGTATCAGCAATTAACGAAAATGCATCGTAATATCAGCGAAAAGAATCTATTAGTGACACATATGCAGGTACTAATCGCTTACACAGTGTAAAGGATGAAGAGTCTAGTAGTTATGTACAATCTTTTAAATTGTATAACGCAAATGAGAAATCATCGTAAATTTTTTTTGAGCGATAAAGTTAAAAAGTATCATTTTATGAACAGATCGTAGATAGCATATTGCTAATAAATAGAGTCTATATGAATACTATCATCTTATGATAGAATTCAACGCAGAAGAAGGATGGTTGGATGAAAGCACAAGTTCTTTCATAACGTCGCCACCGATGTTATAGATTTTACCATCTAATCTTCAAAGTATCTATAGCAACCTATAAATATCCATGTTTTATATCATACGAGTACAATAATTCAATCCTAGATATATCTACTTGTTTCACTTAGATTAAAACAAAGTGATAGAATTTACAACTTCTTTGTGTCTACAAAATAACTCCTCAGTTATGCTATTAATCCCATACAAGTTGTAATAATTTGATCACATTTCAACGCTTACAATTATCCACTGTATCAGTTGTATGTTGTTTTCTTTTTTACCGTGTTACAGTTGCTGTTTGAACTTAGAATAGCTAATAACTATTGCGATAACCAAATAAGTTTTAAATATGTATACCAACCTGCTTAAGCTACTACAGTATAGCTGCTCTTTTGCAATTAGAAACTAAGATCGATATTCCTCTTCTATAATCATTTACAGAAATTTTAGGATTGCTATGATTTTATACATCATTAGTCAACTCATATACATGCTACTATCTTTTGCATTTAAGTACATGCAGCATCTAGAGTTACAATTTTTCACATGATATACTTTTTCCCTGTAGTTCAATTTATGCAAAACTTTCTGTAATCGCTTATAAGTTTCTTAACTGTTTGAAGGTTAAGCATGCTCATATATACAAATGTCAATAAGATCGTTGATTATAATATCATATATGCGTATTCAATACTCTTAACAATTTTAAATCAATTGATTATCTGGTTACACCTACAAATGTTGGGAAGAAATGATATCTTACGTTTTGTCGTTAGCTGACAAGGCTTAGATAACGGCAGCTTAAAATAAAATGTTTTTCAATTAATATTTGTTCTTATGCTATTTGTTATTCGTTGCAAACGGCTTTAAGGTGATTGACACGAAAAACTTCTAGAATGCTCTGTTTTGGAAACTACTGTATTGATCTACTATAATTGATTAATAATTAATTAATCTATGCAAATTGAATGCATAAACGATATCTAATCGAAGTGTCAAGGCTAATCCTTTTCTGCAACTTGTCATTCTTGTAATATTTTATCACATTAGTTTGTACTGCCTAATTTTTATCCGCTATAGTTTATCACGAAAGCAGTTACTTTCTATCTTGATAACATTACAGTACGAACTTTACTAATCACCTTATTTAGCAAGTAATACCATAACAATTATACTAACAAAGATTAGGTTAGAGTAAATAAAGAGCATTTGTGTACACGAACGAGCTTAAGAAATGAAATACTGTAAAGTTTCACATCATTACCACATGTAGTATATGTACGCATACATGGGCTATCTCACGCATATGTAATAACTACCGTAGTGTAGCGGTATTTGGATCTGTTTTATTTAGATTCATAAATTAACCCACGAATTGATTAATAACTTGAATTTATTTAAAATCAGGTTATACGAAAAAAATCTTATGTTACGTAAGTAAATATGGCATGGTCCAATTCCTATAAACATCTGGATCTGGAAATGATCTCATGATTTTCGCGCATACCATTAAATAGTATTGAACATCCAATCCTCATCATTTATCTGCTTACACGGTTTCTGATAATTTATGCAAAACATCTCTTAACTTAGGGTACCACGTATTATGTCATACGAGATATTTTTAATCATCACTATTTGCTATCAATTTATGCGAGTATGCATAATCAAAGTACCAATACAGAACAATCTCTAAACACATTACATGGCCTTTAAAAGCATTTAATATGCTAAATGATTATTAAAATAGGCAATAACGCAATCTTCATACAAAAAACTTTCCGTTATAGTAAATAGTCGAAATTGCTGAAACTGATTTCCTATTGCATAAGGTGACTTAAGTTTAAGGGTATCAATCATTAATCCATTCTTTTCCGGATTAATACTAACAAGGATAAATTAAATTTTAATATAGGCGGAATGAAATTAATCATAAATACAGCGATTATGCCTTTTCAGAGTTCGATGGTCAATTCACCGTTATAAAACATTAAAACCTTCATCATGATTTTAGTAAATTAAATCATTTTCCTTTTCCCATATTTAACGGTTAACATATTTATAATCTAAAAATTATCCAAGTGACAAACAATATTCAGTCACCGATCTCTTTTATATGTAGTTCAATGGATGCAGGACAAATCCGTAAATAAACATTCTTTGACTGAGATTTAAAAAATTTCGCGATATTTCATTTATTAGGCCTGAAGTCGTTTCTTATTGCGACATAACTCGTATAAATTAATATGTAAAAGTAAGAGTTATATAGGTATTTTGTGAGGGTATAAATTATTTGTGGTAGATTGCTGTAATATCTGATAACAATTCATTGGCTGCCATCTTAACCTGTAAAGGAAATAAAGAAACAACTAAGCTTGAAATGTGGTAGAACATACAATCTCATTTAAATCAACACAGCTAATCAGTTACACGATAAGCAAATAACTCTAATATTATACCTCTGAACTAGAATCGTCAATAAAATTATGAATTAAAGACAATGGAATAGTTGCTTGTAACTTTTTGGTAAACTCTGGACTGTCTGGTTCAAGCGCTAGTGACTGCAATAGCCTAAAACCAATAATTGTTAACAAGTAGTGAAAACAAAATTCTAACTTCAAGAATCATAAGACATAACCATTGTACGTTTTCGATTATTACCTTAACGTATTGTATTTGGTTTCAGTATCACTTTCTTCTATATTTATGAAATAAGTAATTTTACGTTTTAGTATTGCTCACATCAGATAAGCCTAACTTATACAACAAATTAATGCAGCTAGTTTTGTCGATAAAAGGAAATACTCTATACAGTTAGAATACTTCGAGCCAAAACCATTACATACATAAAGACAAATTAATCATACAACAATTATCACTTTTCTTATTCATACAACCTTTCAAAAGATTCGCTATCAAAGGTAAAATATCATCCCTTGAGCTAACATAGCGTAACCCCCTCTGATTTATGCTGTAAAATTTAAACACACCGTCAGATCAGCAATCTAAACTGGTAAGCATGAATTAGAAAAAGGTATTTCTTTAAAAACAAGCCAGTCAATACCTCATATTGTATACAGCCATCAAAATTAAACTAGAATGTTACAAGAATAATAAAATTTCGATTTAATAAGTAACACTTGTATGGCGAAACAATTTCAAGATTTGTAGATATAGAGACGTTATGATACATAAATATAAACAAATGTGTACAAAAATGCAATAGCATTGGTGTACTAACTTGCGCAATTTGGTGCTAATGGAATTTATGGAGAAGAATAAGAAAGTATATATCATTGAATTAGTGCTGGTTACGATTTTAAATTGAATCAGTAACATTAATGGCATTTACAATCAAAAATTTCGTACCTAAGCTTATTATTTGGAGCTGCACACAAAACGGTAAAAAATGCTTCGAAAACCTCACGACCACATTCACTAGAAATTAGATAGTCTCGCCCATCAGGTGTAGCTGCCATATCTGAACATTTTTACAATTTCACGATTTAAATTATCAAAATAATAACAATCAAACTTGAAATTATAGATTAGCAATTTATGAAGCAGTCCTCATTAATAGCAATACATAATGACAGTACATGAGAGATGTTACATACTTGTTACGATTCCGCATAATGACAGAATGTACTCGGATTCATCAGAAATTTCGGAAGGCATAGCAACAGATTTATCAGAATACGTAGCGATAAAGCTATCTATCGTTTGTGCTACCAATCGTAAAAACTCTTCCGTTCTGACCTATGATATTTTACACAGGAAACGGACCATTATGGAAAAAGAAGTCCAAATTCATTATTTATTCTAAAGCATGCAAAATAGATCATAAACCATAACTATACCCCAACAAGCATCGATTGCACACACTGTTCATCTTTCGATAGCTTCCACAGCATCGTTCCCATCGAAGCACCCATGTTAGCGCAATATTCTAGTTGTTGTGATAATTCTTCATTCATTTGTGTTAAAGTTCCCTATTAAATTAAAATATAATTCGCCACTGTAAAATAGCTGATTAATAAATTCGATTTCTTAGTTATTCTTCGACCATTTACCAAACCAAAAGTAGAATCATGTGTTACCTGCAAACGATCAGTTTCCTAAAAAAGGTAACGGAACGAATTGATGAAATAATAGTTTTTAAACGTATTGCGGAAACTCATCACTTATGGTAATGGTTGTAGAATCTATTTTACCTGTTTTTGCACTTTCACCTCATCTTCAAGTTGCTCATGTTTGAACCTTAAATTTTCATATTCAGTTTTTAAATCTTGAAATAATTGTTGGTAGTTATTGCCTAATAATAGAATAAACTAAATTCAATCATATCCTAATTTTATTACTAGCCAATAGCTCAGGAATTTATATCAGAAGCAACAAAGCACTTAACGACATGATATCACTACAAAAGCATACCGGTAACATTTCCTGAGGGAAAATGATTCAGGCAACGCTGGTCATCAGCAACAATCTAGACAGTAGCGAATAGGATTATCATCTTCAATAAATGGAAAATAAACCTAAAAACCGCCTGGTCTCGACCATATTCTTAATTATAAAAATGTGCAATATTACACCTCACAATAACAAAATACCGCACCTTCGGAAGGAAAGATTTTAGTTGCATAACTTCCGCTACTAAATTTTCTAAATCCATCTTTGGTACTTTAACAAAACTGCCTGGACTACTATCGTTAGGCAAATTTGCGCTGGCTTTCTACAATATTAATTTAAACAGAAATCACTGATAATGTGATAAAAGCGAACTGTAAACAACTGGTACATACGTGTAATATTTCCTACAACAAATCAGTATATTATTAACCGATAATATATTATTATCCCTATTAGTTTTCAGCTCTTTTAAGCGATGTTGTCTTAACTAAATTAATCATAGCATACAGTAACTATGTTTAAATGGGCAAAAGAGGCGATTTTAAACAAAATCTGTCCTGAAATGCATTTTTAACAGATAGACCCACTAAAAATTTTATCAAGTGGCGTACAGACTTACAGGTATATCTTGGCGATGCGTTAGAACCATTGCTTGATTGGGATTTGCTGAATTTTCAATAATATCATTGTTCAATTTAATACTTTGATTATCTTTTCTTTCCTGGAAATCGGATTACAGTACCGTATTAATGATATGCAAAATATCTATTATTTCTGTGACTTTCGTAACATAAATAAATAATAAATGACTTTCAGAGCTCAAGACTGATTAACGGCTTTACCATATTCACACAAACTGAGTTCGAATCAAGATCACCGGCCATAAGTCCTCGTAAGATTTATCATATCGTTAAAGTCTCGTCAGAAACACGCGGATATATCTCAGACCCTACCATTGAAAGAATAGAAAAAGTTCACTTAAAATATACGTACATGTAGTATTGTTAATCTACTACATTAAATTTGTAGCAGTAATCTCTGAGGTTTAACCGTAAGGGGCTTATATTAGTACTAATTTAAAGAGAAATCAAAAACAATAATCAATTACAGGTAATAGATACTACGAATGACATTGTTCTATAACGATAAAAAGGTCTACATCTGGATAGTACAATATCCTGCCTAAACCATAAGAGTAACAGAAAGGTATTCGAATATCAGCTACAATGCGTAGATAAAAAAATCATGACAATACCTCTATTTGCCCAACACTACTTAGAAAATAGAACCAATATTCGTATAAGTTAATGATTTCTGTTTATGAAGTAAGAATAAAGGATAAATACGCTTTCATCATGAGACCCTAAATCTGTTTAAGTAACGAAATTTAAACATTTTACAATGCTGTTATGCAGTCTTATTAATGTTAAGTAAAGTTTTAACTTTTTCACTAAAATAATAAGTAGCAGTAAGTAATTTACCATTAGTGTTCTCAAGCACAGACAGTAATAGTACTACCAGTCAGTTATATTATCGATACAACGAAAGAAAGCTGTCTTGCAGTATGTGTAAAAAGTAAGACAAGCCACATATCTACACCTTCAAATTATTATTAATCCTTTGTTGGTTGCCATTCCTAATCTTGAAATGTTTAATAATACTAACTAGTATATGTATTGAAACTGAACTACGATGATACTGTAATTATGCCTTAACTTACTAGAATTTTGTACGTATACAGTTCACCTTCATAAGAATATTTACCGTTAGAGCAAGTCGTATGTAATATGCGCGTACGCTAAGATTTTTACGGCCAAGTTAGAGAATGAATAAAGCAGTAACTAAATAGATAAACTCCAACTAAAATTAATCTGATGGCAATAGATAGATATTCATAAAAGGAAGGCAGTATTAGTAGTTCCTTTCTCAAATAGCCAAGATGCAACTGTCATATTTCGAATCATTCGATTGTAAAGTTAATTACTTTTACAGACCACCTTCAGTGCCTTTATAAATAATTATTTTTGTGCATGTGGACAATGGATAATCATATGAAATACAATATTGACTAATAGTAAGAAGGATGGATGAACATATAATTGTTATATAACGAAGCAAGGATCATTCAGTCGTTAGGCTGATTTATTACGTTATATGATACGTTGCTCTTAATCTAACCAAATATAATTTAGCCTGTAGAAAAACATCAATCAGCAAGAACAATAAAATATGCTTATGTTATGTCGCCTTGTGTCTGAGAATAAAGGAAGTCAGAAATTCAAATGACAATCACAGCGATTCCATTTGCTTAACAAATTATTTACTATTGTCATTCTTTAATTTTGAAGATGAATAACGTACAATTAACTATTTCGAAATCAAAAGCAAGTCTACAAGGATAACATAAAGTAAGTCATCGATAATTGGATTGATCTTGTCATCATCGAAGCATGATATTGAATAAAATCAACAATAGATTCCCCTAGCGATTCAAAAACATCACAGAGAATATAAAATAGGAGCCGCGATAAAACCGAAAGGATACATGACAAAATATGACATAAAATCATCAAAACGTTTAGCATTTCAATGCCTAAAACTGTACCGAAATTATTTTTAGGAACACTAGATTTTGAATGTGTAATCGTTCTTCAACCGATTAAATTCCTATCCATTTCAAATTGGCCTGAGGGTATACAGTAAACGTATTGACTAAGAGTACATTTGTTTGTTAATGGACGTAACTACAGACTCTACTGAAAGTAACTCGATCCTAAATTTGTCAATACGTGGATGTCAATTTAGAATAGAATTTTCGAAAGTAAATTTCAGGGTGTAGAAAGGAAGCTTAATATTAATGACCAAGTAGAAAGTAATGATTGGCTTGAATCGAATAGTTGGATAAGAGTCAGTGCTAAGCTCATAATTAACTGCGGTACTGAATCTTTCAAGGCTAATGATTGCAAGTTATTATACAGTAACAAGTACCATTATAAAGTTATAGATGTAGACGTATCTAAATTAAATTAAAGAACATTTCTCTAATTTAGCATCTTATTAACAGTTGATTAACTCTAGTCTGTCGGACATTCCAATAATCATCATAATAGCGGATTGTAAAACGGTTTTAAATAAATATTTCCTATAAACAGTAGGAACAACACCGTATAAAACGTGATCTACTGCATTTTACATTTAATAAATAGACTTACCGTATTGCATTAACTCTAAATGCAATGCTGCATTCTCAAGTGCTATGTATCCGCCAAAATCGATTAATATATATGCTAATACTAGGAATACAGCATATTCTTAATTTTGAGATAAATGATCGAATCAATCGTATTGACTTGATTTATATACAAATCGTCACAACGTGTACTGTATAACGTAGTAATTAAGAGTTGGTTGGTATCAATATGCTAGCCTGACACAAAATAAACGCAACTATCATCTGATTCACGTCAGCATCGACTGTAGGTACTACTGAATACTGTATGTACACCTGTATAGCTCATTTAGACGCAGGAATACTTCTACTAATTGTTATTAGTTTCCATGACTCTGATTAACCATCTTTATGTGGTTCATTCATCTCATGACGCAAATACGCAATGTATACTGTACATGTACTGTGCTACTGTATGGACGATCTTGGCGTAAAAGCCCCCAAAATGACTGATTTGTCAGTTGCATTTGCAAAGGAAAAGTCTAATATAATATGCTAAATGGATACTGATTTCTAGTAAAAGCTCTTCAATTTCATAGTAACTGTCTTACGTAATTATTAACTACACAGCGTTTTACCGAGTAAAATAAATAAACGTATCGTGAGGTACTTTCATCGACTGATTTGTCAGTTGCATTTGTAAAGGAAAAGTCTAATATAATATGCTAAGTGGATACTGATTGCGGTAAAGCTCTTCAATTTCATAGTAACTGTCTTACTTAATTATTATTACACAGCGTTTTACCAAGTAAAATAAATAAACGTATCGTGAGGTACTTTCATCGAATATTTAACATTGTACTGTATTACGTCCATCTATTGTATATTCTTTCGTAATGTATTGCTTAAATCCGTCTTTAATAATTTAAATATAGCGGCTGCTTTCTTCCTTTTCATCGTCTTAAGCGAATATGTAAATATTCTTGTATATCGGTAATAACAGAGGAAAGCACGATCTATAACTGACGTACTGTGCGGCACTTTGAACACCAACTGAAAATCATGTGAATAATAATTTTGTAATAGTCTCGTCTTGAAAGAAAAAGATTCTGACTATGCTATCGGGGATTCTAATCATCTACTGGTATACTTTGGATAGACATCTACCTCATGTTCGTATATGCTTCACAAGTCACAATGAAAATTACAGAGTAGTAATGTCCTATTTCATAGCGAGTCAAAGAAATAAATTCACTCTATCATACGTCGAGGGTAAAACTGTACATAATAATGTTGATATTTAACTACCTTTTAAATAACCAAATATTTTACTCTGTGTAAGGGCATCATTTACAACAGGAAAACTAAACTATTTCGTTTAAGAAAGACATGATTGCAACATAGTTTGTTGTAGTAAGGCTAAAGTAGACAACTCTATATTTCAAAGAGAAATTTGACAGATCTTTGTTGCAACAAATAAAATCAATGACACTGTCAGTGACGCGGCCAGTATATGACCTTCAGGAAGTGCTATGAGTTATCTACTAAATCCGGTCTTAAAAATTATTGGAAAAGAATTTTTCGTGCATCCAGCCAGTACTATCCTTTACCAACTACTATGTCTATCAAAGCAATAATTATTCTAATTACTGACATTCAATTACTTCAACACTACGCCATTTCTACTCACTTTCAATCTGCCAAACGAATTGTGCTATCGGGCAGGGCGGATATGCATTACGACGACGTATGGATGACCGACCTCCAGTCTGTGAGACGGCCTATCATGGATGACGTGTGAACAGTGATAGGAGCATAGCATAATATAGGTGTATAATCTAATTTACTACAGTATTTAATGATTAATTATATATTATACCACACAGTATATTTAATGCAGTAACTTGATCCCGAATGCTGCCAGTTGTATCTTTATAATAGTAGTGTACTTGCAAAGTTTCTATTATGTTATTCGTAAAATTACGCTCTTACTATTCTATCAAATGATCGAAATCCGTCACAATCACTACTCTACCAACCGGGGCAAACAAACAAAAAATTTCATAGAAAAACTATTTGAAACTCTAATGTCAACAGTTGCAAGACGTTCGCCTTCTACAGTAAATCACTAGCAATCCTTGTAAGCGTTCGTTATCATGTTGGACATTCACACAAAAAAATAGGCAAAATCCTCAGCCTTACAACTGGGCGATCAGTGATAACTGAAAGGATTGTTGGGTACGATTCCTACCTTTGAAATATCTTAAGCAATGAACTGATTGAAGGTTGGCAGATTCAAATTTCAATTGCAGGCCAGAAATTTCTATAGCTCAATACTGTCCAGTATCGCGCGCATTCCAAGAATTGTCCAAACCTTTCACTCAACATGTCTTTTTATAGGCGAGTCTGGTATGAGCACAGTATGACTAGGGTACAGTACAGTACAGTACAGTACTACAGTGCACAGGGTACAGTACAATACTGTACCAGTTTGATAGATCTACTGTACACTGTGCAGTAGAGACCCTTTACTCTACACTACGCCAACACCGACTGCGCATTCCTTCAATGGCATTAGATCGTGCAATTTACTTTTGCTTTGGTCGTGTGGATTATGATACTTGGGCAGATTATTTCAATGCACTCAGCTAGTACGAGTATTGGTATTTGTACAAGCGTAACGATTTTATTATAGTTGTTAGCTTTTATTATAATATTTCGTGGTGCAATACATCAACAAAGACCATATCCATGGTTGTTGAACAAATTACATGGCAATTCAGTAAATTACTGAGTAATATGTACTGATTGCCATATTGAATTGGATCGAAAGCGTATTGGTTAATTAAATAAAATTCATCCAATAGTGAGTTTATGCGAAAATGTAAATGAAGTAGCGGATAGGATAGGGTGTTAAATGCAACACAAACTTGATTGTGTATCATTCACCAGTCTTAAATAGCATTGGGTACATTACATATACATTGATGAAAAGCATGATTTACATGCAGTAAGTGTTATGACAGTGATAAATAATGTACAGTTATCTCGTTATCAGTTCGTCTCTCGGAATATTATATATATAATAATTGATTGATCATAATATCTAAGTTTGTAACTATACAAGGTACATTGCAGTTTAAATGATAAATATTAAGTTACGTATATAGATAAAAGATTACATAAAATGAGCAGTAATGTAATAAATTAAATTATAATTGAAATTCGCAGGTAAAGACTTTAAAATAGCAAGCGCGTGGAATATACAGGAGTTATAATAATATCGAAAAGAGGGATTAATTTTGACCAAATAAAGCAACATAAATTGCTTTCATTCGGTTATAAGTTATCTTAAAAAAGGCATTTCAAATATTCCATTTTAGAAGATACTTAGCGGTTTAGAAATCATCAGTTGACAAGCTATGTAACTGCGGTCAATCTTTCAAATGAATATTTCGCATGCGTTTAATAAAACTCATTGTTGAAGGTAATTCCGAATAGCAATCAGGATCTGGTGAAGATAAAGGCAAATTATCATCAGTACCAAACTTGCTTGCTGAACTAGGCCCGGCTGTTATAGATGTGTTGCTGATGCCAAAACGCGCATCACCCTCCATTTCCGAACTCTGGACCCAAACATTTCGTGTGCGCTTAAGGGGATTAGAAGATTTCGAATTTTTCCCTCCTTTTGCATCACGATTAGTTGAAGTTTGTGATGCCAAATGTGGAACTGGTTTAGCTAAAAAATCCTTAGTGACCAGCCCATGAATTAGTGGAGGACTATTAACTCCAGATGGACGCTTAAGTTTGGAAATACTGCTACGACCGGTATTTTTATCGTCATCAGCTGCCTTGTTAACAAACAAATCCGCTTGGCTGTGTGCACGATTAACCCTAACATCTTTATCTCTTGTCTTTGCCCCATGCACATCTACAATACTAGTTGAAGACGATCGTCTTTCTAGACTCTTATCTCCATTACTAATGTTAGATAATGAATTAGCTTTACCTTTAATAATATTACCGGTTGATACTGGTATTGCAGTAATTTTCGCGGAGATACTTGGCGCCACTAGCTGAAGGGCCTCTTCAAAATGATTGCCTTCTTCGTCATTACGGCTGCTTTTAGTGCCATTCTGATTAGCTTCAAGATCTTTTGATTCCGTCGTCAATAAATGGCCAAAATTTATTGAATTCTCACTTTCTAACACAGCATTGAAGGCTAACATGTCCCTCTTAAGATCACTAAATATATCTTTATCAATCTTAGGGGTACTTATTAAACCAGTATTGTATAAGTCTGATAATTCTACTGCTTTTTCTACAGATTTAATGAACTTGCTGATATCAGTTTTCGTCAAATTTGAAAATTCTTCATTAATTAGCCTCCTAACACAGCTCGTAAATTGCACTTTACATCGTTTAGCCACATCAATTCGCTCTCTTAAAATTCCAGCACGCATCTTCGCAGCTGTGCGCTCTCTACTCTGCGTCATAAATCGCATAATATCTTGTCGTATTTTTAGCATAGTCGAAATATAACGTTCTCCTAGCATTTCCAGCTTTTCAATATATTTCTTATCATAAGAGGCGGTCAACTCCGAAAATGATTCCGTCTGTTAAAGAATAAAATAATAACAATAAATACTGGATATTAGAGTCCTTAAATGGGGTGAAAATACAACCCGAACCCGATCAAATGGTTGATTTTCTAACTCAAAATGAGTGCAACCGCTACACAAACATTGTATCACTACAGAAATTCTTAACCCGAATCCCGCCCTCGAGCCAGGTTTCGGGTTGACTTTTAAGGACACTGCTGGATATATTCGCATATGCAAGGTTAATTTAATTTTACCTGACAAGCTGCAACGTTTACAATAGGCTTTTTAGCATCCTTTGCCAATTTTTCAATCTCTGCTGCATACTTTTCAATCATATCTTTTATTTTATCCTCATAATGTTGCTTAGTAGCTTTATAATTCTTAGCCGCTAGCTCAATATCAGCTTTGTATTTGGTTTCAAATCTAATATGCGCCGCTGCCAACGCTTTTTCATGATAATCCTTTATAGATTCCGCAGAAGCTAACTGTTGCTGGAGATTTTCACGTTCATATTCCCACATTTGCTGACGTTTTGATAGAGCAGAATGATACTTATCTTTAATTGTTCGGTTTTGCGCTTCCCATTCCTTACGCTCTAAAGCAAGTTTATTCAAAAAATCCCGTTCACAATCGATTTTTAAGTTGTGTAGGTCGCGCTCACTCTTAATTGTTTGATTTGCTATCAACTGTTGCATATCACTTGTATGCTTTTTGGTTATCTCAGCTTTCTCTAATGCAAACTTTTTATTTAGTGATGACACCGCATTATCAACCAAAGCTTTATTATCATTATTTAATTTTTCATATTTCTGAAGCCACAGCTCATTCAACTCTGCAAAGGCTTTTTCCTTTGATATCGAAAATTGCTTCAGGTCTTCCTCTTTTAAATGTTGATATTTTAATTCATTCTGCTCCATGGTAGCTTTAACTTTCTGCTGAAATTCAACGCTCATTCTTTTCTGAACAGAAGTTTCAGTCTCGCTAATGGCTTCTCTAATAGCTTCATGAAGTTTTCTTGTCATGTCATGTTCCCAAGAACTACTTATTGCAGCTAAAAGTGTCGTGACAGTTTCCTATTTAATTAAATATAGCCAGTAGATATTAAGCGTCTTCGTACGGCCACAAATAGGATTACTTAACTAATTAAAGAGGGTATAAAGATCTATCTCCAGGAGTCAAGAAATCTAAAATATTGTACTTATTTCTACTACTATACTAGCTTAAAATTAAAGGCATAAAATCATATAAATACCTGAATTTGTTGGCGAATAGGAGCGTAATGTGGTAAATCTATAGGACTAGAGGGAATTCGATTTACAACATTCGCGGCATAGCCATTAGAAGACGCCCAGTTGGCAAACGATCTGTTTATTTCTACATTGACGATACTTTGCAGTTCACGTGCAAACTCAGTTTTCCATTCAGATTTCGCTTTCGTCAATGCATCACTTACCTGCAAGTTTAAAAAGAATTTAGAGTATAATTTCGAAAAATATTTACCTCTATACACGTACATGTAGTCGCTTTTAACTTAATCTTATAAGCAGCTATAACTTAATAAAATTAGCTACCTATGTGGTGATCTTGGCCAACTGTACACTGCAGTATACAATTTAAAAATGAATATATACTACAGATTATTTATAATTTTTTCAATAACCTCTTTAACTTTTTGCTTTTCTACTTCTACAGACCATCGTTGTTCGATATCACTTAAACGATGAGTTAAATTTTGATTCCATTCACTTCGTGCGGTATCTACCGCATTTTCTACAGCAGTGACGACAGAGACTTTATGTTCGCGCATCCAAACATCTCGAGCCGATTTGATGCCAGCTTCGACGGCCTCCTGCTTTTCCCGAAGCCACTTGATTTCAGCATTTGTAATAGCAATTTCGATAGCTTTCTGTCGTTCTGCAGCAGCCATTTCATCCCATTTTGATTTTAATTGTGCTGCTTGCTCCTCCCATAACCTAGATTGATTAGATAGCATTTCATCGTTCCATTTCTTCTTTTCTTCCCTTACGGCAGATTCTATTCTATCTAGTGTATTTTTCTCATACACTTCAGCCCATTCTGCTTTTGCATTCTCCAATGCATTTTCTACGGCACTATTCAGTTTCATAGCATATCTTTCTTCTAAATTACTCTTTAAGTTCTCAATTTCCGTACTGCGAAGATCATCTAGCATAGCATTAAATTCAGCTTTTGATTTTTCACGAGAGTTTAAAGCCGTCTCACTAATAGCTATTTCTATTTCTTTGCGATGTTCTGCCTTTAAGCTAGAAGTAACCTCTTCTAGAACTACTTCGAGCTCCAACTTATGTCTGGACTCCATTTCTTCTTTCATCTCTTTACGAGCCTTGCATATAGCATCTTCTATTGACTTCTGATACCCTATCTTTAATTCATTTTCTGTTTCATGAGCAGATTCTTGGATAGCAGAAGCCACTCTTTGCTGAAAATTACCTTCGTATTCTTTCTTAACTTTGCTGACAGCTTCTTCAACTGCAATATCAACTTCTTTCTCATAGCGTAACTGTATTTCAGCTTTAGCAGTAGCAAGCCTAGACTGATAGTGTACTTCATGGACAGCAGTTAATTCAGCTTCCCACTGCCTTTTTGCAGTAGAGACGCTACTTTCAACAGCTTTTCTAAATTTCTCTTCTCGGTCTTCAATCCAATTCGTTTTCGCTATAGCTAATTCGATTGCCATTCTCCTCTGTAACTCCTCTTCAGTATTTTCCCTTTTAGGTAACTGACCTATTATCGATGTTTCATTTGCTAAAATAGAAACGTCGATACAATCCTTACGTATATTTTTGGTACCACTTTCTTCGAGAGCCTTAGATATGGCTTCATCCGCTACTTTTTGATATTCCTCTTTCATACGAGACTCGGTCAAAGATTGTTCATCAGCAAGGCGTACATAAGCTTCTTTAGCTTTATGCAATTCATTCCTGAGAACATCGATCTCTTCCACTAAAATACTTATTTCATCCCGGTGTTGCTGAACAAGCTTTTCTTTAGCATCTTCAAAAGCAGACGTCATTCCAGTCTTTAACTGATCAATTGCAGTTTCATGTAGATGCTTACACATTAAACGGCATCTTTCTACACTTTCTTGCTTATCTTTTTCAGCCTCACGTTTAGTCAGCTCTAAAGATTCTTTCAGTTCAGAATTACATCTATTTAATTCACTAACGTCATTCAATTTGCTAGCTAAATCATGCTTTACTTCTTGCCATTTACAACATATATCGTCATAATCTTCCCTTAATTGCTTATTTTGTTGTCGTAAAATTCTTTCCGAATTACTTTCTCCAACTTGCGAATCTCTTGCACACTTTAAGTCAATTTCTAGCTGCTGCATACGATTTTCGAGAGAAGCACACACTAACTCTGTCCTGCTACATTTTTCTTTTTCATTCTTTAAATCTTGATAAGCTTCCTTTAATTCTGATCTTAACTGATAAATCTCAGATCGCTTTGCGGCATTACTAGCAAGACATCGGTCAAGTTCTACACGCAAACCATTAACTATATCGTCTGCTTCAACATTTGAATCTTCATCCTTGGTAGACCATTGAAAGCTAGCATCAGAATTTTGAGGCAATGATTCATTTAATGACCCTGGAGAAATACCCGATGTCTGAACGCCCAATCTTAGTGCCGCTTCATACATTTTACACTGATCTTTTAATTCGGTAACTTCTTTTTTCAAATCTTCACATAAACCTTCGCCAAGAGATTTTGCAGTTTCCGATCTATGTAACTGATCACGAAGTTCGAGGACGTCCTTTACTGAACCCTCTTCTAGTACTTTAGTATAGCGATTTTGAAACTCATGCAAATTCTGTGTTAACTTCTTGATAGCTTCAGTATGGTCTAACTCAGCTTCTCTAGCACGTTTTTTAACATTTATTAATTCACTTTCTAACCTTTCCTTTTCCGAATACAATTCAGAAAGTTGAGAAGCAGTCTTATCATGCATTTCTTTTAATTCATACACTTCTTCTTGATGGCGCTCTTTCAAAGATGCAACTATCTTGTCGTGTTGTTCCCTGGATCGGAGAATTGTTTCTGAGCGCGAATATTCAGATATTTGTTGATTTAATGCCTCAATAGAGCACTCTGCTATATGCAATTTACTTATGGCTTCATCTCTTTCAGATCGGAGAGATTTCTTCTCATCGTCTGTTAATGTTAGTTTTTTACGTAATTCATCACATTCAATAGTCCTTTCGGATATCATGTTCTGAAATTGTTGAATATTGGAATGTAAAGCCTGACATTCATCTTGCGATAGAAGAACTTTGTGTTGCAATATACGTATTTGCCTATCACTATCTTCCTTGAATGTTAATAGCTGCTGACTAAGTTCATCTACTTTGCGACCCCGAGCTTCATATAAAATTCGCAGTTGAGCGACAGAAGCATCACTAGAATTTGGAGATACATCATGTCCAGTAGTGGAATTGCTACTAGTCTTGGAAATTTCCTGATATTGATCAATTTTTACTGCTCGTGCTGTACTAGTGTAATGCTCATGTTGAGTCTGTGAACGATTAAGGTAATCATCATTTTCTTCCAATTTTATATTGTCATCCTTTTTAGTTGAAGGTGGATCACCAGAGGATTGTCTTTTAACGTTAGAGTCGCCAAAGAGGGGAATATTTATGCCAGCGGCGGTTGGAATCATAAAGTTTACATTACTTAGTATAAGAGGATCAGTCGATTCAGAGGGCACAACATTGTCTGATATAGGTTCAGGAAATGTTGATGCATCAGTATCTATCACAAACTCATTAACAGAGCTATTGTGACTGTTGCCCTTGTCTTTCTCTGAATGATATTCCTCCTCTTGCTCTTCAGGCTCTAGTTCTTTCACATGTGGTGATACATCTGTGCTAATATTTTCTCTCTGTTCTAAGATCGTTTGATCATGATCAAATCCAGTAATTAAGTTTTGAGTTAGTTCGGAAATATTAGAATTATTGTTATCAACGTCACCTAATTCGGTTGTAGTCATGAAAAATAACCATTAATCAATTAAAAAAGCGAAGGAAGATAGCACAATTAAATTTAGGTTATTAATGAGTAGAGGTCTTATTTTTAAATCTTAGCGCCATTTTACATACCTGATATGTGATATATATTTGAAGGAAAGTTCGGAGCACGAGGCGGAGTAACAAAACTAATCCCTTTCGAAGTATCAAATTGTTCCGATTTACCAACAAAAGGGGTTGATGCTTGCCAAGTATTGCCAGCACTCTTTATATTGTCTAGTTGATCATTAGATAGTGATAGTTCTGAGGGTACACTATCATCATTATTTTCAACTTGGATTTCTCTATTTTCATTTCCATCTTGACTAAGTAAGGAATCATTGACACCATGCGATTCATTAGCCTCCACATCGTATATACTAGGCATAGGAACATTCCCTGGTAGTTTCTCTAAAACTGCCTGGCGCAACTACAACAGACAATATAAATGTTCAATTTAGGTATAGATAATTGCTTGATTAGTGCATTCATTACTATTTACCTCTTCTTGGCGGCGTTCTTCGTCTCGTCGAAATTCTTCTTGCTCAGGAGTTGGTTCTTGCGGTGGCTTCAATAACGGAATCGCGTAAAGTAGACATTAATAACTCTATCTAATTGTTATCTGTCGATCGTGATAGTATTATACTGTATGTAACCTACTACCATTTCACCAATGTCAAACTGAAGTTGTATTAGCAAATCTCAATTAATTAATCATCATTATTCATCCAATGTTGCTAGTCATAAACCTCCGTAGTATGAATAACGATATAATTATGTCAAATGTTTATCCTTACTTGAAAACTAAGATCCAATAGTTGTTCACCAGTAGTTTCGTCAGTACTCATCTTGATATTTTAATGTTGCTATATTCAGAGAAGTTAACAACGATAATACAACGTCATCAACGATTATCATCGCCATTATTAGAAAGCCATTACAACCAAATTTACTAATAGGTTTAAAATTTGTTGCTTACACTACCAATCAACTACTACTACTATTGTCTATATTTTAGTCGATTACACAATATCTGTTTGCAAAGCATTTCAACTAACACCAATAGAAAAAAGTACTGTATAGCTTCACATTGTAATGATTTTATTGCTTCGATATTCATATTTTTACTCTGCAATTTAGTCTTGTAGCACAATATATTCAATTTCAAATAGATCTATTGTTCAAGTACATCTACTATAAAAGATCTTCACTGTAATCATAATCAATTTACGTACAGTAGCATCCCAAGGCAACAGCTGATTGTACGTATTATTTCCAGTGACAATAATTACAAGAAGAGACAAAAGGTGGTCCAAACTAATAGCTGGTTTATATTAGTATTATGTAAAAATGGAATAGAACATGACTTTGCCACTTGATTCAATTTCGATTTTCATTACATACAATTATGAATATTATTTTTAATTATTACTTTGACTATATTTTACAAATTTAGAGAGGGACCAGTCGCGGGATATTTTATAAGATGGTAGAGAGGAATTATACTCTAGACAACTCACGAAAGATTTTAATCCGTATTATTAAAGCGCTATTTTTTTTAACCCTTACGCTTTAAGTTGGCACATAACAGGCGAGTAATAAATAAATAATAACCATAGTTACAGTAATTCTTCGAATAAATAGATAAGGGATAGAAGGATATCAAACAATAAAATTACTTCTGCAATGATAAAATTATGATGTATACCGCTGTATAGGTATACTTATATCATCATTATATGTGCATCATCGTTATTTCAGTCATTTGCAAACTTACAGCATTCGAATGTATGTTTAAACTCGTAGGAAGTAAAAAGATGAAAGCATTTGGCAATAATCACTTCTTCAATGGCAATGATGTATTACACTGTCTATATATCTATATCGTAATGATATGTGCATTCCTTGCTATGATTCAGATGAAGCTAATTCATTTATTGCGCAAATGATTCATCCAGTAGTCTTTACTACTGTCACTCTTCTGTGGGGATGAATATTACGGTACAATCGTATCATGTACTGTTGCATGAAGAAGAGGATCAAGCTCAATTTATCTACGATTCTAGAAAATTGGACAAACAGGATGTTATCATCATGTTGTCTTATTAGTATCAGCTTGAACTATATTGCAATCTAAAATAGTATAAGTACCAACATTCTACCTTTATGACACAACGATTGATCATTTTCAATTTTTATAATAACTATTCACGAAAGAGGAATTAATTGAATAAATCTAAACAAATAAAAGAGCACAGGTAACTTTCTAGTACAACATTGTCCTTTCAAATGTATAGAATTTTCTATTCTTATCACGTCATACTCTAAGTTTCAATCATAAGATGCCATCCAATTCCAATGTCAATAAATCAGTGCAATTCTTGCAAAATTGAAGGGTAAAACTTATAAAATCTGTATTCATCTATTAGTCAATGATAGATAAGACAGGTGGTATACTCAATTCATCTTCTTTCTTCCAATTTTGTCATTATCATACTGTCTACTGTATGCAGTATCTTACAAAAGTACCAATAGTCATAAGATGCATATTAGCTGAACAAGCCATAACAACCAGTAAGACTATTGCATCGACGAATTGAAGTAACATTGTTGACAGAAATGATGGTGAAGATAGCAACTTACCAAAATGGAGAAGGGCATTGGACGAGTCCAACTTGCAAACAACTTGATTCAGTGTGGCGCCAAATACACTACTGTACTCTACTGACTACAGTAGTAGACTCGATTGCTCGACGATGGACTAGACTGATGCGAGCAGTCTTGATGAATTTAATACCAATCCAATCATCGTCTTCAGCCAGACAAGTCTGGCTGGACGATGGCTACAATCTACTGTACTGCACAGTACTGTACACTGTACAGTACTGTAGATCACGTGGCCTGACATGACCGTACTGTAGTCTGTCCAGTGTAAGGTACTAGCACCACTCCACTGTACTGTACAGTGTACAGTGTACAGTACAGTACGTCATAAAAAGAATAAAAAGAATAGTGTACTGTACAGTACAGGGTGTCTCATAAGTATTTCCCACTGTTTGAAATTATATGACATTATAATTTCAAGTCCTTATTAGACAAATTTTGTATCATTTTGTTGCTCAAGATACTGTTTGGTAAGGTATCTTATAGGGAGGAATACAACTACAATATTTGTACGCCATAAAAAGAAAGAATAGTGTATTCACTGTTGCTCAAGATACTGTTTGGTAAGGTATCTTATAGGAGGAATGCAACTACAGTACATTTGTACGTCATTCCAAGAATAGATTTCCGTACTGTACTGTACAGTACAGTAATACGATACGGTACTGTGTACTGTACACTACAGTACATTGTACAGTCGCGGGTTTTCGACTCACTTTGCGCCTTTCTTGGGCAAAATGAGAAAGCAGCGCTCTAGCTCCTTTGCGCCATCTTCCTTGCTGCTCGCTTTTTAGAATCACAATAGTTTAATGACTCCACTTTGTGCTTCACTGAATTGGGAGTATACAACAGCAACGGTTACCCTACTTATCCTTCGTGATGACTGCCCGGAGTATGCAGAATGAAGAGTGCAACATTTCCTAGATCATGTGTTTATCAGTGCAAGTACTGTATCTCCAAAGGAATTGCACGACAGCATCCATTTTCTTTGTTACTTTTACTTTATTATAAGGATTGGTTCTTTTGCCAAGGACTATCTGCATTTATCTCTCAAGCAAAAATAAAATCATTCCATGACGCACACCGGCCACTTGAATCGGGCTGTGAAGAATTGACAATATCATAATATTATTATCCAAGCTTCAAACCATGAACAATTTTGACGTAGAACCACAAAATGCAGTTTTCTCGCGATATGGCATACTAGTTAAATACTGTGTACTACTTACTACTAGACTACAACGTAGCCATGGCTGTTAATCCGTCATCACTACCATATGATTCACGTGCACTGATTTCAAAATACCGTAATGTTGTAAGAGTTGAGAGACCGCTCTGCTACGGCACAGCAGTAATTTTTTGTTATGCATTCGAGAGAAATGAATCAATGACATCAGCCAATTAATATCTAAGCAAGACGTAAAAAAATACGTTATCAACTCAAGTATACTGTGTCATGGACTATTTGACCAGGTACACTATATCTTCGACATGTCTGCATTCCGTAAAGTACATAGAAACTTCTTTGAGAAGTAAACATCCTTAGAACTTCTGTGCAACTCTCCTAACACCTAGTAAATTAGTTGAAATATAAAAATTAGAAATGAACTACAGTATGAATATAAAACTCTTTGCATAGATGACTGATTTACTTACATATACCCGTAGCATCTACATTGCATACTACTAGAGAAGCGATGAATTACAGCAGTATCGCGATTATTATTACTGTGAACTGAAAGCGCCTTACAGTGCACCTTTTATTGGTGATAAAAGTAGGTGAAATTACTGTCCAGTGTGCAACAGGGCCGTGATGTACTTTTAGAGTTATGACGATGTTTGAAAGTGCAATATCCAATTAACAAACTTGTATATACTAATACCTGATCTAGGTAAATCCAGTATTGCCTCCAATAATTATTTATCCTCTCATCTAATTCAAGCGCATTCGAAACTGGATTGCTTGAAAATTATCCTATTACTCCCAAAGTTTCCTACAATGTTGATAAATTCTTATCCTATGAAATGGATGGAAACTTTTAGAAGTTTCCGTATTGCATTGCTATTTAAAACTATAGTGTAAAGTACTGTACTGCAGTACGTTCGTATATGTGAGAAATACTTGTATAGGATAGATATATCGCTAGACCACGATAAGTACAGTAACTACTACCGATATCATATTATTCCATCAATTCATTCAGACATTGGCGTAACGATAAATACACATCATCATATACTCTTATAGGCTTATTATTTGAATTAATACTTTAGCAATCTGAAGTAAATGCAATATGGAAATCAAATATTGCATTGCTATCGAAAGCTATAGACTTGTGAATTACAGTATCTACATATACAAATCTATGGTATTGAATCAATACTTTCGCATTCTGGAATAAATGTAGATGTACTTCATAAAATATAGTCTAGATTATCTGTAAGTAAACAGTAGGTGTATCACAATTAATACTCTGAGACAAGGAAACGTACAGTAAAAGTCTATAAGTAACTACTGACTTCAACGTTCTTTTACCAAACGTTAAACACACACAGCAAAGTACCGTAAAGATAGAATCTTTATTAGCATAGACACATTTACAACTTTTCACCACACAACCCAACTCCAATGTTCACGTTTATATAGAAACCGGCTAATCTGTAAACAACATTATTATTATACCTTACTAGGAGAGATATCTCGAACTGAGACGTTCCTTACAGAACTTTTATATAAGAAAATATTTTTCGTCTCTTACTCATACTAAATTTTGATCTAAGCATGTATGTTGTCTAGTTCAACTATCATTAGCTAGAACTATATTAGAACCATAACTAAAGGCATCGAAGAGTAGTATAAATACCCCGGCGCTGCTAATTTAAAGGGAGGGCAGGCGTTACTAGAACCTGAATCATCTCACTACTATCTACACATAATAACAAATAATATCAAATATGTAATAAGCTATTACAAATAATATCCATGTTAAGGCACTACTTATCGTACCTAGTACTACAAATATGAATATTTCCCATATTAGCTATTACCGCACTATTCAACTATCCTAACGGTAAGGTAACACCGCAACAAGATGCAGGGCTACGATATTATGAATATGCATCATCCAATTACAAGTAATTATATCATTATTGCAACTTATAACTTTCACCAATGCCAATACAT